CCCCCCCCCCCCCCCCCCACGTTAGATTCCAGAAATAATCGTAGGTACGTTTCCTACGCTATTATTTCCTGGCTCCATTGAATAAACCACAAAGCGAGATAATTTTCGGACCTATCGTCTCGACTTGGTCTCCGCGGTTCTGCTATTACTCGATAAATCTTTATTCATTGACCGCAAAACTCGTCGGCCAAAATTAGACCGCAGGGGTATTAATCATTAAAATTAAACTTCTCCGTGAAACTGAGACGGAATGTTTTTCTACGTCGCAAATATGCAGTGTTACAAGTTCGCTATCGAGACGCAAAATCTAATCTAAGCAACCTATTGTCTAAACCGCACTTCGCTGATTCTAAATTCTCTCGAAAGAAATGCGGAAGCTAATACTGCAATTCTAAACAGAATCGTAAGTCTCGTAACTTGTTCTCGTAAAATACGTAAGAACTTATGAGTAGATTTACAATTTTATGCAATATCATATGTCGTACAATTATTCGTAAATATCTACGATTTCATGTAATTTACGATATTTACAAATGATTGTACGACATATGATATTGCATAAAATTGTAAATCTACTCATAAGTTCAAATTTTGCAAGAACAAGTTACGAGACTTACGATTCTGCTTAGAATTGCAGTATAAATAGAACGAATATCAAAGAAAAGGATATTCAAAGGATATTCTCCTGCCTGCAATACACATGTGCCAAAGTTTTGCCTCATTTGCATCTTCGTTTTCGGCTTGTCTACGGTCTCATTATGTCGTGGGTAATTAATGATATCGGCGATCGAAAGCGCTCAATCAAGAGCGAACAGATTCGGCTTGACGTGTGAGTTAAATAAAGATGCAGCTGATACGTCGGCCGCGATAACGTCGGTTTAAAATACCGGGGCGGCGGTGCGGGGGCGAGACTGACAAGTCCGACGGAGTTCCATCGGCGGGCGATCTAATTGCCGACGAAAATGATGGAAGCGGGCGCTCACAGGCGGGTAAACGGGATATGAAGGGAGGAAGAGAGACTGCACACTATCTCGTTCTCCTCGCCTTTCGCGAGGCCCCCGTGTACACTTGATTCAACAAAGCAAATCAGACTTCGACACGCGAAGTCGGTATGAGGGATCACGCGAGGTCGCCTTACTTCCTCCCTTCCCCTCCCACGGGCCCCTGTCGGCCAATCTTTTCTGGCTGGCTTCTTAGCCTTGCCCATGCTACCCCCGTGGAATTAGTGTCAAGCTAATTTCGTGGCTGAATTTAGAAGTTTCCTCTGATCGTGTGTCTCGATGCTACCCGTTCCACGATTTCACGATCGTCCGAAACCACCCCCTTCGCTCCGCTCCGGCGGCCGCTTCCATGAAAAAGCAATTGCACCGTATTACACGAGCGCATTACGAAAGTTCCCGCGTGGAGCAATTTTTTTCGCGTTCCTTATTTTTGCGCGCTCGCAGGGAGAGGCGGAAAACACCCCCGTCGCGCATGCGATCGCCGAGCGTTATAGCACTCATACCAATTTAACCCCGGCGTGGCGGCGGACCGATTGGAACCTCTGTGTAACGAACGGAATCACGAATGCGGATTTACGAGCATTCAGCGAGTGGGAACGGTGAAGTATGTTATTCGTTTGTTGCATCGCCCGTCTATTATGCACAGCGGCGCGCAAAATAATTGGCAAAAACGCGCCCGCAAAATCCGTCATATTATACATGTATATGAAATACTTAAAAAAACCACACACACACGCATGAGTAATATTAGTTAACCAAAGATTTGTTGAAATCTTCAAAAATATGAGGCAAAAGTTTTAACGATTTGAGCTGTTGTTTACTCAACGTATACTTCGCCCTGCGCTCTACATTTCTCCTTACGGTTGAGTTGCTCTTATGTTCCAATTACCGAATCACTAAGATAATAACTCGAGATGTAAGTAGGGACTAACAAGAATCCGGATTCGTTCGGATGTAGACAGAATATAACTACTAAAGATCCGACGTTACAACAACACCGAAGACCATAGAAACTTTTAAACGCTGCTGTGGGCACGTGTTAAACTAGGTTTCCACGCTTGAAATTAGCATTTTGACGACCCTTTTAAGAGCTTGAAACGCGATCGAACTGGGACCTATAAGCTTTGAGGTGCGAAAAAAATAACTGTGCAGTTAAACGTAGTTTTTATCCATGAAGGAGACTAGAACAATTGTAAGAAAAACACATATTTCAGAAACATTTTCCAATTAATAAATCAAAGCCTAAGACATTAGCTTCCAGGAACCAATTATTTATGCAATAATATTATATCATTACTTAAGAATAAATTATTTTTCAATGAAATGAAGCATATGTATGAATCTGTTTGAAACAATTTATAATTCAGAAAAAATTCAAAATGTATATTTATAATTTAAATATTTAAAATTCACAGACTTTTACAATTAAAATTTTTGTCATTTTAATTTTTATATATGTAAATTATAATTTAGATTTATAATTTATAATTCAGATTTTTATAATTAAAAGTTTTATGTAATTTTAATATATATATTAAAATTACATAAAACTTTTAATTATAAAAATCTGAATTGTAAATATTTAAATTATAAATCTAAATTATAATTTACATATATAAAAATTAAT